TGGCTTCTAAAATGCCCTTAGCAACAGCTTTCACCTCATTTGCATATTCCCAGACAACAGGTTTATAGATGTCTGTCTCTTGCTCTATGGTTTATCTTTTTTATGATGTTGGGGACGTGGGAGAATTCTCCCCTTTTTCGTTAAGCTTCTTATGGTTGGGCAAATAATTAAAACTGAGGTTAGCAGGAGAAAATCAAACAAAGTTTAATAGCATGTATACATGGGAGAAACTCAGGAGAAACTGAGTAACTCAGCCAACCGGCCGAGGCTGCCTGTTTAAGTATCTTCAGCTACAGACAAGGAGGATGTTTGGGGCAGTGATCTGGGGCTTCAAAGGGCATGAAGGCAACTTCATGGAAATGGAAAAGCGAGCGCTTGGTAAATAGAACTTTGTTAAGAGTGGGCTTAGCAAGGATCCTCTCAATCTGCTGGAACCCAGAGTTATCTATGGTGATGGCCTGTCCCGGGGACAGGCCTTTATTTTAAATTTCTTTTATGCAGTTGGGGGGAAAGGTCGAATGTTCTTGCTGAGTCCGAGCCTTTATTATCTTCAGCTAGAAATAATCCACATAGCAGAGTGGTGCATCTTGGGGTGGCCTGCCCTGAACCCATCAGTTTCCTCAAGTTTGTTGAAAAAGGGTCTGTCATGGAGGAGGTGCTTTATTTTATTGAGTGATTGATTGATTTTTGCGTTTTCAGATGAGACTGGAATGGTGGAACCCCTCTGGCCACCACGCCAGAGGGTTGTCCCAGTGGCAGAGTGATTACATTCACACACTCCACCTTCAGCGGCCCAGGGTTTCACCGGTTTGGATCCTGGGCACGGACATGGCACAGCTCATCAGGCCACATTGAGGTGGTGTCCCACATGCCACAACTAGAGGGACTCACAACTAAAAATATACAACTATGTACTGGGGGGTTTGGGGGAGTGGAAGCAGGGGAAAAAAAATTTCTTTCAGACCCTATTGTTCTTAAAAATAATGAAGCCAAAGAGACACATTTTGGGGTGGCCAATTCTGATCCACAACAATGTCATCATTCCCAGAAACACTTTATGAATATTTTGGAAAAAGATATATTGTTGTATTAATTAATCTTCATTCCATGCTTCACTGAGGAAAGAAGGGTGCTAGGGAAAGTGCTTAAGAGCTGGAAAACAAAGTTCTTGGGGTTGCTTTGACCATGAGATAGTGGTTTTGCTTTTGGAATTTGAGATCATTTCCATAGGTAGATTTGTAAACACTTACGTGCATCGTCCACTGGAAATGTATATATACATATCATTTGAAATGACTGAAAGAGCAGGTCACAATTCCCACTCCTTCCAAACAGTGCATTCCCCAGCTGATTGTTTATTTTTTTTTTCCTGAGGAAGATTAGCCCTGAGCTAACTGCTGCCAATCCTCCCCTTTTTGCTGAGGAAGACTGACCCTGAGCTAACATCTGTGCCCATCTTCCTCTACTTTTATATGTGGGACGCCTACCACAGCATGGCTTTACCAAGCGGTGCTAGGTCCGCACCTGGGATGCGAACCACCAAACCTGAGGCAGCGGAAGCGAAACCTGTGAACTTAACTGCTGCGCCACCAGGCCAGCTCCCCAAGCTGATTGTTCAGAGGGAAATACATCAGAAGAGGGAGGTATCCAGCTTTAATTGCCAAGTTTTAACTGAATGGGAATAAGACTTATTCCTTTAAAAGTTTTTTCTAATTTTTTCATGGTTGTTTTTGTTTCCGTTTTGTGTTGATGCAAGTTCTAAGTTTCATTGACCCTAAGGGGTCTCTGAGTTGGAGCCAAGGCAGTGCTTTTCAAGCCCCTGTGCTGAGGTCCAAGCTGGTTCCTCAGCATCCACAGTTCGGTTTTCCATGACTGCATGAAAACTATTTGGAGCCAATGGAAACTAGGAAGGAGGTTTTCGCAAGAGTCCGAGGTGGCAAATATCTCCCCCTCTAAGCTGTGGGCTAAATGGATTGAGACAAAAGTCAATATAAATTCCAATTTACATGACTACAGCTCCTCTTTCCCTACCCTGATCCAGGGGGTTTCTGAGCTGGGACTTCTCACCCTTTCTCTACCGACCCCATGAGCTTTGAGGGGGAGTGCCAGGTGGAGAATCTCCTGTCCTGCTGTTGCTTGATCTGGAGTGTGAGGTGCAGGAGAGATCTCCATCCTGGAGTGGTGGCCAGAGGGGTTCCACCACTCCAGTCTCACCTTAAAACGCAAAACTCAGTCAATCACTCAAAAAAATAAAGCACCTCCTCCATGACAGATCCTCTTTCAACAAACTTGAGGAAACTGATGGGTTCAGGGCAGGCCACCCCAAGATGCACCACTCTGCTATGTGGATTATTCCTAGCTGAAGATAATAAAGGCTCAGACTCAGCAAGAACATTCGACCTTTCCCTCAGCTGCCTCAAAGAAATTTAAAATAAAGGCCTGTCCCCGGGAAGGTCATCACCGTAGATAACTCTGGGTTCCAGTAGACTGGGAGGATCATTGCTAAGCCCAATTTTATCAAAGTTCTATTTACCAAACATTTGTTTTTCCGTTTCCATGTGGGTTGCCTTCCTCTGCTTTGAAAACTCAAATCACTGCCCCAAACATCCTCCTTGTCTGTAGCTGAAGATACTTAAACAGGTAGCCTCCTCGGCCAGTTGGCTGAGTTGCTCAGTTTTTCTGAGCCTCTCCCATGTACACGTGTTATAAAGCCTGTTTAATTTTCTCCTGTTATTCTAGCTAATGTGAATTTAATTCGTTGTCGGGCCAGAAGGACCCAGAATGTGTAGAGCAAATGTCTTCCTCCCCTACAAAACATATTTCTGAGTTCTCAAAGATGTTTGCTAAAATCACTAACTGATGAAATAATTGTTTCCACCTTTCTTGTAAGTTAAAAATAAAAGTCCCTGATGTCCAGACATTTTAGGTAGAAAGGTGGTATTTGAGGGCCTGTTTGTTGTAAAATCAGTGGCTCTTGATGAGATTTTGTTTGTAGAGATTTGCTTATGGAGATTAGTCATGGTGTTCAATCAATCTTCCCCTCTAGTTGGAGGAAATCTAATCATCCGTAGGAACGCCCATCTGAGGACCCCTGAGATGCAATCACTTGGAAGAAATGGGCGTGGTCTTCAGAGACTCAATATAAGGAGAGTCCAGGAGCCAAAGCCACCCTTCTCCAGAGCAGAGGGAGTGGGTTTGGAACTCACCTGGCTGCGGAGGCTTCTGAAAGCTCCCAGTACCACACGTGGTGGCTGGATCCCTAGCTGATCTCCTACTATTGCTTCCAAGGCAAGTATCCGTGAGACGAGTATCCATAGGCCAGCTCCTTAGGTGAGTACACAATTGACCTTAGAGGGGAAGTTGTGTGACTTTCCCAAAGGAAAACAAAATTTCCAAATTTCCATTTCATGAGAGAACTGAGGTGGTTTCTATGAACCGATGCTGTTTGCCAACTTAGGGTAAATGATTCCATTCTGATTTTGTGATCCTATCTTGGTGAAGGTGCTGGAATCAATATGATAAATTTTAGTTTTCTTATTTTCTACATCCCTTAGTTGTTCCAGTGTATCCTAAGAACTCAGAAAGTGGTTCCCAGATATCTTGTTGTTTTGTACTTGGTGTAGATCCAAAAAAAATATTAACAGCATTTAATTCTCTATGTAGTACATGTAACAGTCCACTCTAAGGGTAGTGCATGCCTGTATGCACAAGAGAAATTACAGTCTATGACATATAATTAGATGATGAAGCCAATGATTGGAGGAAAATATTGTTTTAAAAAGAAGTAGGGGCCAACCTGGTGGCACATTGGTTAAATGCACATGTTCCACTTGGGTGGCCCCATGTCCATCAGTCTGGATGCCGGTTGCGGACGTGGCACCGCTTGGCATGCCATACTGTGGTAGGCGTCCCACATGTAAAAAAGAGGAAGATGGGCACAGACGTTAGCTCAGAGCCAGTCTCCCTCAGCAAAAAGAGGAGGATTGGCAGCAGTTCGCTCAGGGCTAATCTTCCTCAAAAAAAAAAAAAAAAAAGAAGTACATGTTTTCTCTTAGGAAACCTGAGTTTTCTGACATAAATGTTAAAGAAGCTAGGGGATGATTGAGCAGGCAGAAAAGTGACACTGGTGACCATAGAGGAATATGAGAAACTTGAGGGACGTCTGTATTTGACTGGTATAGACATGAGGACGCCAATTAAAGCCAAGTAAATTTTTAAAAGCTTGATTTGTTTCTTGGTGCTGATTATTAGGATTACATCCAAATTATATTTCATCACAATGTGAGGGGCTGACTAATAGTTTGAAAGACTTGGAGGACATAGGCATTCTTCTCAATGCTGGGTTCCTGTGACTAGAGTGGTATAGAATATAAAGACGGGAGGGCAAATTGAACAGTTGGGTAGATTCATGTCAGTAGATCCTGGCCAGAACCAGATCCAGTTTGACCGTGTTTAATATCCTCTTCCTTAACTCTTAACGCATTCAGAAAGTGTTTTGAAATAAGAAAAAGGGTTTTGGGATGTGGATTCTGAGTGAGATGAAAAAGGACATCTGAGGAGAAAGGCCTGACAATTACGTGAAAGAGCGAAAATGCAACCTTAGTCTAATATCCTGTGCTCACTCGAGGGCTGGCGATGACCGATGTGATTGGGTTTTAGCACATTCAGGACCCACCACCTGGAGCTATAAATGAGGTCAAACTACTGAAGCTCAAGCTACGTGGAGGAAAGTAAGACCTCAGGAAAAACTGCGGTTCTTTTTGCTCCCAGATAAAAAAGGGGTGGCAGGAAGGTAGTGTCAGTTAGGCAGCCTGGAAAGTTTTTACAGACCTGGAAAGCTCTCTGTGTCTCATTTTTCCATTTATGTCATGTGCCAAATCGAGCCTGCTCTGCTCCCAACACAGTGTATTACTGAGTCACAGCCTGAGTCTAAGTTTGCTCAGGGCTTTGTGTCTCGAGGACACAGGAATGAACTCCTCTGATTTAATTCCCTTAGAAAAATGGACATGGACATCCCACAAGCCTTCCAGAAAGAACTCACCTGCCTCATCTGCCTGAATTGCCTTATGGACCCCATCACCATAGACTGTGGGCACAGCTTCTGTTGGTCCTGTCTCCGTGTTTACTGGGAGAAAGCCGAAACCCCTGCCTGTTGTCCTGTGTGCAGGCAGCCATCCCAACAGACAGACTACAAAACCAACATTCTTCTGAAGAGTCTGGTGTCCGTTGCCAGAAAAGCCAGTCTCAGGCAATGCCTGAGCTCTGAGGAACACATGTGCGGGACCCACAAGGAGACAAAGAAGATCTTCTGTGAAGACAACAGGAGCCTGCTGTGTCTGCTCTGCTCTGAATCTCAGGAGCACGAGGCTCACAGTCACTGTTCAGTGGAGGAGGCTGCTGAGGAATATCGGGTAAGTGATGCTTCTGAGGGCACTGTGAAAACCAGGGGCGAGTAGGGCTAAGGGTTTCTTAGGGCGTGAGAGTCATAAGGGTGATGAAATCCTCTCTTTTCTGAGCGCCAGGTACCGATCCAGGTACCAAAGATGAAGCTGTGAAGGAAATACACCAGTACCCGCCTTCATGGAGCTCGCATCCAATGGGAGGGGGATTAAATTAGCAGTCCATATCACTTTGATGATGGCAGTATCATGTTCAAGGCTATTTAAAGCCCTCGTTTTGAGTCACTGCCTATAACAACTATAAGTGCAAAAAGGCTTTTCTATAGGGTACATGTTTACTAACACTGGGCATAATGTCATAGGATGAAGCACATTGCAATTAGCAGGGGACAAGCATCAGAAGATCCACATTCTGAGGCAGGACACCACACCATTTGAGGAGTAGCCATGCTAAGTAAAACCCTGGGGAGTTTGCCAAGGCTAATGAATGACTACCTCCACAGTCTGAGATCTCCTGAAATGGATCATTCGTGAGGGTCAACAGGGCAATGTGATGGTCCTTCCACTCCCGAAAGGGCTTTCTCCAACATCACTTAATTCTCTCCATCATTCAGGGTCTGAAAGCTAAGTCTATTTGCTTGTCTGGTGCTAAAATTCATGGTTCTGTTACAGGAGAAGCTCTGCAAGCACATGAGATCCTTATGGGAAAAGAGCCAAGAAAACCAAAGAAATCTCGATAAAGATGGCAGATTGTCTTTCCATTGGATGGTAAGTATGCGACTGTATTTCCCCCCGAATCAGGTTGTGACAGACATGCTAGAAACTTCTCCATTAACAATTTGAGCTGGAATCATCATATGTCATGAAATTCGGAGACTGGGTCGAACAACAGGAAAAATAATCCATCCTCATTTTCAACCTAAGGTGGCATGCCTCTTAGGATTTTTAGACTCGAAGATAATCAGTAACTACAATCCAAGAGCCCTCAGAAGAATGTGTGACCGGGGCTAGGATGGAGGCACGTAGAGCGATTTGGGCAATTCAGTAAACATCACTCAGAATCTCAGGCCAAATTTCTCAGGTTTAAAAGCAATTGGAGTTCTGAAGGACAAGTAGGGGTTAAAAATCCATGAGTGTTGCAGGCAGAGATTTCTGCATATCATATATCCTAGAAGTTACAGAGCATATCATTGAGAACTGAAGGGATTCCCATCCCGTTGTTCCAATGAGCCCCGGGAGACAAAGAGGAACGGTGAATGCCAATTCAAGAAGTGTGCCTGCGATGATGAAACTGATTGTGCAGGAGCTACAGAATGATGTTGGCTCAGGTAGGGGAAAATGTAGCAAGTTTTTTTAAGAAAGTGAGGAAATGGAGCACAGAAAAAGACTGAGATGGCAAGTGAGAGTGTGGTTCCAAAAAATGCAAGAAGCGACCAAGCAATGGAATGAGGATTAACGTCCTTCACAACAACACAGAAGCCTGTGGCCTCTGATAGAGGACAGAAGCTCATGCCTAGAGAATAGGAGGGCAGGGAAAATGGCGGTGAGGATGGCCATCAGATGGAGGGCAGGTGGGGAGAAGTTTAGGAAGCTCTTTGCCGATGGCTTTTAATCCCAAGAATAAAATGCAACATTGCTGCCAGGAGAGAGGGGAGGTCACATGGTGGAGTAGGGAGGTTTGAGACCAGAGACAAATTTACTAAAGAGTGGTCAGAGTATTGCACATAATGATTTACTAACCACTCATAGGTTGCAATTGCTTTGCGTGGAGTCTTTCAGATTTGAGAAGATTCGAATGAAAGAAATTATCAATGGAAAGCTTTGCTGACGTTGTTCCAGGAGCTCATGCAGTGGTGGAAGTGCTTTGAGGGGGGATGGGCTTGACTCTTGGTGCAGTTAAAAGGAATGGAAAATCAGTGAAAGAAAGAGGAATGAATGTGTGGTTTCTGAGAAGTGGGTGGACCTGACCTTAGGATGGATGTAGCTGGTTGGTGGAGCCCATGAATGAGAGCAAAGTAGATGCTGTTTAAGTGGAGGAGGAGAAGGTTGGCCTGAGCCTTTGATCTAGGAAATCCATCTCTCTGCAGTGTTATGTGTATAAACATGAAGACATCATCAGGGCTGTCTATCAGCCACTGCATCCTTCTCTACGGAAGGAAGAGAAGCAGCACTTAGAGAGTCTGAAAAAGCAAGGAAAATCCGTGTTTAAGCAACTCCAGAAAATTCGAGCGGAAATGGTGGAAAAGAGGATACAGCTAAGACTGATGTATGAGGAGCTGTTGGAAACGTGCCATAAATCAGATGTGGAGCTGCTCCTGGTAAGCACAGAGGATGGGTCTGCGGGTATTTTATATTATCTCAAGCCCACGCTTTTGACTTCTCTTATTTATTTGGTACTAAAGGTATACTTTTTCCTCTCCTGCATCTATGGTGGGGGTGGGGGGGGCGTCTCTCCCAACTCAAAATAACTTAAAATGATTGCAACTCATCTCCTAACCATGAACAAGCAAGCCTTCTGGAATTGTGATTGTGGAGATTTCCCCAGGGGAAATTCCCTCCTCACACCCTCCTTTTGTAGCTTCCTTTGCTAGAATCAGGAAATGAACAACTTATTCATGGACACTCAACACTGGGCAATGTGGAGAAATTTGGGGAAAGTTGTGTATATTTCTGCCTTCTGTTGGGATGTCCTAGGTTTGAAGTGGCCTTTGTTTGGTGCATGTTTCCCTCTGGAGACAAGGCCTGGGAAAGACCACTTTTCAGACAGTGGAGGGTGGCAGCAATGCACGGTCACTTCCCTCGTCCTTCTCTCTCTATATCCCTCCTCAGGGTTCTGAATACATCAAAAATTTGGATTTGGTCAATATGGGGTATGGAGATCGTCTTTAGGGAGGAAAAGGAAGATGAATCAACAAGGCGGTTTGTGCGGGTGGTGGTGCTGAGTACTTTTCTTGTGTACTGTCCCAAACCCAAAGGCTGCTTGGCAGAATGGCCTATTCCTGAAGAGTCTAAGCTTCTCTCTCTCTTTTTTCTTGACAGGAATTGGGAAACAAACTGCCAAGGTAAGTTTGGTCTTCCATGCTAAGTGGGGCGCGGTGAGGGCTCTGAAAAAGCTCAGGCTCCTTTGAATAAGATGAGGCATAATGGGGTAGATTCTGCTCCACTGTTAGTGTGTGCATATGTTTGTGCACATTTTGCTGCATAGCATTTCCTGTTATTCCTCTGGATTAGAAGCGAGGCTTTCTTCCGCCTGTGACTGGAAGGGGCAAGTGCTGTCATCAAGCTCAGTGCAGAGGATTCTAGAAAACCAGTTATTTATGCTTTCAGGGTTCAAAAGAATCGACATACAGAAATGCAAGGATAGTTTTTCCCAGGTGTTAGGGGAGAGGAGCAAGTACCTGTGAGAAATGGGGGTGGAAGCATGGAAAGAAGAAAACTGAGAAAGATTCTGTGAGAATGGTGCAATCCTGTCCCAGGGTTGTGGAGGAAAGTGTTTTGAGGAAGAATGTTCAGAGGAATGATGCTGACTTTTATTGAACACAGTGTGTGTCAGAAGTCTCGGGCACCAGAGAGATTGATTGCGTTTTCTTCCTTACAGGATCGAGTTGGTGCAGCTGCACATGCCTCAGCGTCCTCAGCCAAAACTCAGTGCCCGACCCGTCACTGGACTGATGGACAGGCTCAACCGCTTCCGGGGTGAGTGGGGCCACCCTGCAGGCTCTGTCAATACTGGTTTTCCTTAGGCAATCCTTCCTTCTTTCTCAACCTTTTGTCTTGTCAGAGAGCACAGCCATGCAGACAGGCACGGACGTTCGTAGTTAGCCGTAGAGTCGCTATAACAGGGAAAGAATAAATGAAAGCTGACGTAAGCATCAATGTGCTTCAGGACTTGTGAATTACTTAGAGATTGGTTAAATTACTTCCATGAGGAGCAAAAGGACGTGCTCCAAAAGAGGGCTCCAGGAGTCCTAGAAATATTCTCACTCACAATGTCACTTGTTTCCTGAGTCTTAGAAAATCGCTGTGAGTTCAAGATATTCCCATTTCAAAGTAAGCGCAGTGAATTTAATTTAAAACAAGACTTTAGCTTAAAGGTCCTTGGGAACTGCACGTGTAATGTGTGTTTCAATTGATAGATTCAGAAAAAAATACATAAGCACAAAGAAAAACTAAATCCAGAAACCAGGACTTTATGAACCATAGCCAACAAGCAAATTGGTGGCTGACGAGTCCATCTATCGAACTCCATGATAAACCTGAACCCAGAAGGTTGATTTAGGAGAAAGAAGGCTAGGCCTCAGGTGGAACGAGGTATCAAAGGCAGAATAGTCTTAGAAGGAAGCCCCTTCTAAGAGGGCACCTTGAGGTTTTCTTCCTCACTGTCAGTTTACTTCCTTAAGTGGAATCGCGGAATCTCCTGGTACAGCGAAAGCCATCACCATTTATTCAGTGGTCTAGCTTGTAACTATTTTTTCCCAGAGGGAGGGCGGTGGAGGTAAGTTATGTTGCTCTGGACTTGGAGGCGGTGCACAGGTGTCCAGTTTGTCAGGTGTAATGAAAAGGAGCCAGCCGGAAGGAGACATGACCTCCTTCTGCTCTACAATCTCTCAATTTGATGAAAGTTTTTCCATTGGAAGTAGGTATTTGTTCCTTCAGTAGATAGGCTGGCTTCATTTGAATCCCATATTTTCCAGTTAGAACTGCCCTTCTAACCATGGCATGCTTTTTTGTTTTTTCTTCCCAGTGAGACTCTAGATAAGACCCTCTTCTCCCACACACAGCTTAATTTTATCATTGATTTTGACTGGAATATTCTCTTCTCTCTCTCTCTCGACAGTGGAAATTTCCTTCCATAATGAAGTAACCAATCACAACATCAGGCTGTTTGATGATGTGAGAAGTGTGCGGTACATCCATGACAGTCGATATGTGTCTTTGAATCCTGGAACATCTAACTATTTTGCTAGCTGGGGAACCCAGGACTTCACCTCCGGCAAGCACTACTGGGAGGTGATTGTGGACAGATCTTGGGACTGGGCTGTAGGTGTCTGTAGGGATTCCTGGATAAGGAAGACCGGCACACTGGTTGAATCTAAGGACACATTCCTTCTGGTATGTGTGAAGGAGGATGATCGTTACAGTCTCTGGACCACCGCCCCCATAAGTCCTCAGTTCATAGCGAAACCTGTGGGCCGCGTTGGTGTGTTCCTTGATTGGGACAGTAGGAGCATGAGCTTTGTGGATGTTGCCAGGCGCTCCATCATTTGGAGGTACCCAGATGGCGTGTTCACTTTCCCTGTGAGGCCTTTCTTTTACACTGGCCACACATGATGAGGCGCTGATGTCAGCAACCTGACTGTGTGCCTGTGTGCCCAGGAAATCCGTATGATGCTTGATTGTCTTTTCTGCTCTTTCTACTTGATTGTAACCTCCTTCTGTTATTCAATATGAAGATAGTGTGAAATACAAAATGTTGTTGGCTCCATTTTCTTGACATTAAAATCTTGTCTTGTGGTTCATCTCTCTAGAATATATGCTGTGGTGGCTCACCTGTTTTGTGAGCTTGATGGAGTTGCCAAAATGTCTGGGTGTGTGCTTGCCACTTCACGGTCGAGTGTGGGAACACAGGGTTTGCACATCATTGACAGACCTGGTTATCCAGAGTGACCGTGTCAGTCTGCAAGCTTCTTCTCCTTCCTCTTGATCTAGGCTCTCCTACACTTCAATTCGCCCTTGGGGGGATAAAAAAAAAAAAAAAAAACAACCAGATTTGACTGGGAAATCTCCACTGACCCTCAGGATCATGATAGGGCCTTGTTTTAGTGAAACCCCAGATTACTTCAGCTGTCAATGAAGTAGCATGCAAAAGCATCTACTGAGAATAAGGCAGATGCATTGGGGTAGTTTCTGACAGCAGTTCCTTCTTATTTTAACAGTATAACTGACAAGAGATGGAGAAAGGAAGCACCTCTTGTCTTCACTGCTGTAATTTTCAGCAGGTAAAGCCCTGGCTAGGACATCAGGGGCACTTAGCGCATCTTTGAATGAATAAATTGTTAAAAGGATGAGATATCATCTTATTTGGAAGGAATTTTGCTCTAAAAGTTAGAGGCATTAATTCAAAAGTTTAAATTTTCTGGATTTGCAGGTTCATATCAAAAACTGAGGAATAATTACACAAGCTGACTTAAAACCTCCTGGATTGTTCACTGTCTTCAGAAAAGTATATCTGTGTTAGGAGGCAGGAAGAATAGAGCCTCTAGTAGCATAGAGATGACGTGTGTGTGTGTGTGTATGTGTCTGTGTGCTTGTGTGCATTACAATCATGGTAGTCATACATTATCATTTCAATTAACTTGTTTCCATTTAATGTAAGATGATGGCTGAGGTCATGGAGGATGAGATGGGATGGGTCAGGATGGATTGGGAGGAGAGAACAAAATGGAGACATATACTCTCTACTGTCTTATTCCCATTTCGCCATCATGCTATATTGCATTCGTCTTTGTTTTCACTGTGCTTATCCCACACTGAATTGCATATTCGCCATTGTATTTCTACCACCAAATACACTTCTGGAATACATTGCTAGAAATTTATCCAAGGTTGGTCAGTAACTCAATGCGGTTTCTTGGACTAGAAAAGAGACATTGAGGTCCACCATACTTGGTAATGAGCGCTGGCTGTGTGGCCTGGAACAGGTCACCTAAATTCACTTTGCCAGTCTCTTCATTTATCAATACTAGAAAGAAGAGCTTACATTTATTGAGCACTTACCATGTGGTTTGCATATAAATGTGTTCTTTCTCCATTATCTATAAAAACCTTAACAATCCCATATTTCTGAGGAAGAAACTGATCCATGAGAAACTTCAGTGATTTGAGCTAAGGTGGTCCATCTCCGGTGTCTGCACTCTTCACTTTGCGATGTCTTGCTTCTCAAAAATGCGTCTCCAAGATGAAATCATGTAGGATATGGGCCAGCCTTCCAATGACCCTGTTGGTGAGGGTCAGATTACCTAATGCAAAGTGACAGTTTACTCTAAGACCTAACACAGGGTAAATCCTAAATCTGGGACTGCCAATATTGGAATAAATTTTATGATTGCAGAAATTGTTACATTTCCTTTGATTCTCTAGGCATTTCCCTCACCCCATCCTATCACTGGCTCATCTACAACTTGCCTGCTGTCAGCAACTACCCCGATGCATCTGCCTTATTCTCAGTAGATGGCTTTGCATCCATCTTCATCGACAACATGGAGTTCAAGTCGTTCCCTACATTTCTGCTCGCATGCATGGATTCCAAACCATCTCAGCAACACCATCACCCCCTTTCAATGGTTTACACAAGAAAGCCACTAAAGTTAGTTTCCTGCATTGTGCTTGACAATGAATTATTATGCCCTAGATACATACAGTCCTTGATATTCCCTTTCTCACAAGATCTTAGGAGATAGGCATGAAACAGATAGTGACAGTGTATTAAGGTTTTGTTGCATTGGTGAATTCGCTACTGTGATTGGCAGCATAACTGACTGTCTGCTTATTACTCACCTCTTCATAGCTTTACGTATGGTCCTTATTATTCAAGATTAGAGCGTGGTGAATTAATAGTTTCCAGGAGGTTAAGGTCTAAAATTTTGTGTATGGGGAAATAGGGTGTCGCGCCAAGGACACTTGAAGTTACATTATCACTCCTTAAAAGAACCTGTGATGAATTCAATATGATCTGGGCGTGCGAAGCTATGCTGTAATTCTCAGACACATTGAAGTCAGATCATCACGGAGGTAGAGCCAAGGGAGAGCCCAATAAGTTCGATGTGCTGCTGTCCGATGATTCCACCCTTCTCCCTTGAAGATGAGTGGGGGTTGTGTGGAGAATTTTAAAGCACTGATTCTCAAACTTGCCTGAACATTGGGATCATCTGAAGAGCTGTGGGACATGGTGATGCCTGAGTCCCAGCAAAGGGAATTTCTCATGAACTGTTCTGGGGTAGAGCCTAAAACAGGATCTTCTGACTGCTCCCCAGGTGACTGTGATGTGCAGTCAAGTTTAAGAACCACTACTCTAAATCAGTAGTTTTCAAACTCGACCCTACTGAAACCACCCGGGGAACTTTAATAAACGCTGCCACCCGGGCAACACCCCAGAGATTTATAGTCTGGCCTGGTAATTCTAATGTGCAGTCGAGTTTGAGAACCACTGTCCAAATTTAAACCTGAAGGCTTCCTCCTCTCCTATATGTATAGTTCACCATTCCACCCTGTTTTTAAAATTAGAATACTCAGAACTTGATATAGATCCTACACGTTATTGGTGAGATTTAAACAGAAGTCAATACATGCCTATATACGACATAGGCTGGCACAATATTCTCTTTCATCCGGGGAACATACGCATTGTTCGATTTTGAGTTGAAGAAATGTGGCGGCATACTGCCTCTGTTTCTGACTTGGCAGTGACTGCAGTGTCTCTACTAAAGGACTCCAACTTTCCTGCACTGGAATCCCAACTCATTAAAAGCAATAAATGTCAAGTCTCTCAGAGAGAGGGCTAGGCAGCACTGGTGCAGAAATCTTCATCCTCCCCCCTGAGAAGAAGATTTATGCTGGGTCTGAAAGAAAGATAGAGCTCACTGTAAACTTACTAAATATCCATGACTTTTACTGAACCTTAATTTCAAAAACTTTTTTTGTTAAAAGGTGCTGAATAAAAAGAAGATCTCAATCAAAACTATCAGGCCACTGCTTCTAGATTTCACCCCATTCCTGCTGTGTCCCCTTACTGAATTTTTAACTCTGTTGCATTGTTCATACCTCCATTGTCTACTGGAGGCCAAGTTTGTGCCAAAGACACTCTCTGTTTCTCACCATTACTCTCATCATAGTGCACACTTATTCCTACTAGACTGAAAATCCCAAGAGGCCAGAACAGTATTCGTCTTGTTTACTACCGTATTCCCACCATCTGACACAGTGCTTAGAACACAGTGCATAATAAGTACACCATGAATGAATGGATAAACAAATAAATGAAGTGAATATCAACAAATATGATTCAAGCATTAACGGAGTTTCCAAAATGTAGCTAACATAATGGGACAGAAAATTCTCTTGGGTAATGTCAACAAAAGGCAAGACGTCAATTGATTTCCACAGTCATGTGCTAAGGAAATTTTTTGCTGTTGTTTTGAGGTTTGAACGATTTGAGGTTTGAAATAATTATATTCTATAGGGTTGATTGGAGATTTCCACAGGGTGCCAAATGTGTACCAGTGGAAGAGAAGGATCCCTAATGTTAACGAAACAGAAGGAGAGACTTAGAATGATGGAGACGGTCAAGATCTAAATAGACTTCTATTAAAGCACTTCCTAAGGCATTAGGTGATATCAACCTCCGGCAGTGCCCAAGACAAAAGAGACTCACCTTTGAAAGAGTAATACAGATGGTAGAGAATTCGTATTTCTATAAAGAGAAAGAAAAAAGAGAAAGGAAGGAAGGAAGGAAGAAAAGTACCTTGGAGTAGAGTCATGGGATAATTGATGACTGAAATATGAAAAAAGAAATGTATAATATGTAATGTGCTCAATCCCATGAAACTGAGGCCTCATTTCTCACAGATACTCGGGCAAATGAAAAGCTCTCAAGGGACCAGTAGGGCACAGGCTAATCTGCTCTGGCAAAGCCCGCAAAAGCTAAAAGAGTCGGAGGAGGTGTTTCTCGCACATGTCTGTCCAAATATAGGAGATGTTCAAGAGGAAAATGGACACGAACAACTGGCTTTTATCTATGTGTGCAAAAAAGTGCCGATTCTTCCCATGTCCTACTCAGCAGGACAGCTGAAAAACTGTCCTGAGTAAGGGCACCTGACTATAAGAAAATGACTTGGTGTGTTTCACAGCAATTCTGTTTCCATCCTTTTGGTTCAAGCTTAGCCATATGGCCTGCCAAGCTTCGGGACCTGTCTGGAAATGCTGGATATACATTAAAAGCTTTTGTTGTTCATTTTGCTTTTGTGTAAAAGGAAAAAATTACATGGCAGGCGACGTATAAGAAATACTCAAGAGGTTATGTTCAATGAAAGTAAGGTGGTCTTCAACAAGTGGGCTGTGATGTTGTTCTGGCAATAGAATCGGGAATGAGTACTGAAGGATGAGTA